AGTGTGTGTGTGTGTGTGTGTGTGTATGTGTGTGTGTGTGTGTGTGTGTGTGTGTGTGTGTGTGTGTGTGTGTGTGGTGTCCTCAGTGTCATTCGGCCCCTACCTGCCCTGCAGAGAGAACATTAAGCTGATGGGAGCCAAGAACAACATCCGCCCCCCCAGACCAGAGCTCAACATGTGTCTACTGCCCTCCATGGTGGAGAGCAGCAAGGTACCACTCACTCACTCACTCACTCACTCACAAATTCATCACGCACGCACGCACACACACACCATCTATACATTGACTTACATGCATTTCCTGGAGACTGATCCTAACCATAACCAGCACATGCTTAAACCTAACCAAGTCTTCACCTGAAAATTAATGGTTCCCCTCATGGGGACCTCCATTTTGTCCCCATAAGGGAAGCCAGTCCCCATCCGTGACTTTGTAAACAGATTTAGGTCCCCACAAGGATGGTAATGCTAGGACACACACACACACACACACCTGATGCTCTGAGAACGACCTGTTCCTCAAAAAAAAAAAGATTACAAAATTTTTCTTAAAATGCATAACAATGTGATTATTAGTAAACCTTTGCATCACACAAACTGTAGACAACCTTATTAGGAAAATGCACAAAATGAAAAACTTTAATACATTTAGCTTGAAACATGAAACAGAGGATCTAACTTCACGTCTTCTTGTCTTGGAGGAAAGTGCAACATCGAAACAATATAGACCTGTAGTTCCTGCGTAGTGTAGATACAGAAAATAACATTCATGAAAATACACACAAAATAAATATTAAAAACAAAAAAATGACATCGAAAAAATAATAAATCTGATGTTGGTATTAAACTGTGTGTGTTCCTCAGGGTAAGGACGAGGTGTACGACAGGATGCTGCTGGACTACTTCCTGTCGTACCATCAGTTCAGCCACCTGCTGTGCCGCGTCGCCATCAACTGTGAGAAGTTCACAGAGACCCTCGTCAAACTGAGTACGTACAAACCTGTGTGTGAACTGAAAATATATGATTCTTAAAAACTGCATACACACATCTGAATATATAGCCAGATACTAAAATATGAAATATCTCTCAGGTGTGTTGATAGCGTACGAAGGACTTCCTCTGCACCTCGCCATCTTCCCCAAACTGTGGACGGAGCTCTGCCAGTCTCAGGTTTGTTGTTTCAGTCTCAGGTTTTATCACCGCACAAATCCGTAGTATTGAAACATTTACAAGAGATATTTAATTACAATATAAAGTTGGACATAAGCTGGAGTCAAAAACTGATAGAAACAAAACAAACTACTTTCATGTTCCCTCCTAATGTCTTGACTTTAATCGTAGAACATTTCTCCAAACTATATGACTCTATTATTTCAGAACATTTCCATTTGTGCTTTTCATTTTTGTAAATGTACTTTCCTAAATCTCATGGATTATCTGAGTTTTTTTTTTACTCAAAAATCTATCACTTTTAGATTCAGAGTTTTTCTCAGAATATCCCCCATCTCCAAGTTTTGTCATTTAATGGATACTATTTTTTTTTTATCCTCCTTTTTTATTAAATCCAGTTGTTATATTTACTTTAATCTCTCATAAAGCTCTCTGTTCTGTCCTTGATGTGTGTTTTTTGGTGTACATCTGTTATGTATGTGTTTCTTGGCTGTGTTTTGGCTCCACCTTGTGGTGGCTGGTTGACACTGCTGCTTGCTAGTGGTTTATTGGATTCCTGTTGCTAGGAGAACGAACTTGTTTGTTTCCGAGTGCGCTCCACGTGTAGCTTGGATTCTTTTCATGAACGGACATCTGCTCTCCATGGGCTGTGCTTCGTATTTCCCGCTGGTTCACGCATCGTCTGTGAGTGTTATTGTCCGACTTAATGGAAATATGCAAATGTTTATGTTTGTAGGAATGCAGTGAGTATTCCTTGCGGCTAAGCTACTAGCGGCTAGGCTGGTTAGCCTCTCAGTTTGTGCACCGTAGCTCATTGTGTGAAGTATTCTGTTATATTTTAGCTCGTCAGTCGGGCAGTCAATAATAAACTGTTATGTCTTTATTGTCTTTACAGTTTCACCAAGTAAAGAGACTTCAGTAAAACTGACAACTGCGCTGGAGTTTTCTTTCAAATGGTTTAACTGGATGGATAGCTAGCTCAGTGCTAGTGAGACCCTTACAGTGTTGTTTTAGGTTGACTTACACAATCCATCCAGGGACTACGGATAAAAAATAGCCTCTTGGCTAACTCTGGCACATTTACAGAAATGTTAATTAATGTGCACTGTCCCTGTTAAATAAATACAAAATAAAAAGGGGTGCAAAAGTAAAAAAATGCCTGATAAGAGAAGGATACAATTCCAGCAACAGTGCAGCGGCATCACTTTTCATCCATCATAGCATTTAAAAATAAAATCAATATTGATGACATGCTTAAACTGCCAGTATCTAAGATGATATTTTTAGTTGAGAGTGAGGAGTACAAGCTGTAGTGGCCGTGAGCATCCAGGAGAAATGTTTCCAAATGTTCCACGGCTGTCAGTTAGTTACTTGACATTCAAGCAGCATTCTAGTAGAACTGCCTTATTAGCATTACATCAACGATGGGCATCACATCAAACGTAAATAATCTGCACCATTAAGGAGTGTCTTGGTTTATTTTCCGATGAGGAAAATGGTGTTGGACGTACCGGATAACATGGAAATTAGGAACAGGGGTTTAGGGATTCATAATATGTTGATTACTTTTTCAACCTAAAATAAATACAGTTAAATGTTATAGTCCATACAGTAATTGGAGCAAGACGAAATTTGTTTCAAATAACTGCTACCTCGATACCTGATAATATTCATCGAATGTTAATCATGTTATATGTGCAAGGTATCACATCCGCAACACATATGGATACTATGAAACACATTCTGTAACATCTTTTTAAGTCATCTCATAAATGGCTCATTTCAACCTGGTCAACACATCCAGTGTGAATGCTGTTATTACAGTAATAAGGGCCACTAAATAAGGGTTTATCATAGGACTAGGTTCTTGATTATGGTATAATACTTAAAAGTAAAGAGTTAAATTAAACATACTATCCATAGCATCCAAACATAGTTAGGCAGGAGAAGAGAAAGCTCTCTCTGATTATCTCTTTAGAGTGCTTGGGCTCAAGGAGCTTTTACATAGGCTTGACTGGCAGGGCCTTGGTGCCCTGCCCTCTCACAAGCATTTGATAATCAAAAAGTCCCCTCAACGCCACGGCACAAAAAGCCCTCCATGATTTCCACTCGCCTCTCCATTTTCTGGATGCTGTCTCTGCAAGGTTCCGGCTCTTTAATACTAATCCATGTAGCAAACTAGGTATACTGAATAGCAAGGTTAGGTTACACAAGTAGATCATTATGCTCAAGTGTTGACTGTGACTAACACACGTGAGTGTGTATATTCCAAAAACTGGATCAATTAATACATCTGATGTGATTTAACGCAACAACGATCGCGTCATAACCCAAAACCCTGATAGAGAAAAGTGGCTAATAAATGTAGAAACCGATTATAACGCCATGACAAGGATCTTACCTTCACACAAAATAACTTTTGCACATTTGTGAATTGTTTCCTGGTCTTTATGTAGGCCATGTGACATGTGTAATTTTCTCTCCTGTATTCCTGGGGGAGGTGTTCTTGGTTCGCCACAACGCCTACTGCGGCCCACCTTTACGACGGCCCATTCCGGCCCGCCCCCACCCCCGGTGGGGATGCCCTCACCCTCGTTAGGGCCCCTACCCTCTCCTGTGGCCCCCCTTTCGTCGGCCCGTTCCATGGCCCGGCCCTCACCTGCGACCCCACCCTCCTCGGCCCCTGTGGTGCTTCCTCCCGAACGCGAGGATTTTTTTGCCATGTTTGAATTCTGGGGGGGCTTGTGTGGTGAACACCTATTAATACACTGGGTTACATAATTCATACATGGAACTACAGTTGGGGGTATTGTTCCCACACGGACATGTTATGTGTGGTCTATATATACTGTATTGTGTGCCCTCCTGGCTTCTCTCTCTTCTTCCCGGACTGCAACCGGACAACATGACCTTAGCTACTCTCAAATAAAGTACCCTTTTTGCACCTTCATTGCACCGCCTCCGACTCCCTATCTCTCTGCACTACAATAGCACTTTAAAATTGACCTCGTTTTTCCTGTGACCAGAGGCCCTTTGTTTGCAGGAACGGTGGTTTGTTGTCTAAAAACTGATAATGAGGTATGTGCGTAGTTTTTTTAGAAAAACTGATTTACTGTCATTTTGTTTTTCCTCTGCCATTGGTTTGCTGTAGCCTTCTTTAACCTCAGTGTTTTGATATCTTACTCTCTTTTTTCATCCCCATTTCCCCCCCTTGGTGGGCATTTTCTGTGGCATACTGTAAGTGAGAGCTTGAGTGTGAGCAAGAGAACAGCACGAGCAAGGAAATGCATTGCCACGCTTGTGGTGAATGAATATTAAAGCTTGCAAAAAAAAAAACATATTTATACACACAACATGAGTAGTACATAGTAGTTAAAGTTAATTCACTGCACCAAATGTGTTAGGTTCACTGTAACCTATTTTCTGTTCTCAACTGTCAAGTGTTTAATAGTTAGCTCCCAGGCTTAGTACAATAAGTAAAAGTGATTTATGAAGTAGTGCGGTACTTGCGTTTTGGGTTTCATTCATAACCTGAATCAATAATTAATTATACAAAGGAAACTTCCAAGCCTTATTACCNCCAGTCCCCACACGTGACTGTGTAAACAGATTTAGGTCCCCACAAGGATGGTAATGCTAGGACACACACACACACCTGATGCTCTGAGAACCACCTGTTGAACAGGTGGTTCTCAGAGCATCAGGTGTGTGTGTGTGTCCTAGCATTACCATCCTTGTGGGGACCTAAATCTGTTTACACAGTCACGTGTGGGGACTGGCTTCCCTTATGGGGACAAAATGGAGGTCCCCATGAGGGGAACCATTAATTTTCGGGTGAAGACTTGGTTAGGTTTAGGCATGTGTTGGTTATGGTTAGGATCAGTCTCCAGGAAATGCATGTAAGTCAATGTATAGATGGTGTGTGTGTGCGTGTGCGAGTGTGTGTGTGTGTGTGTGTGTGTGATGAATTTGTGAGTGAGTGAGTGTGATGAATTTGTGAGTGAGTGAGTGAGTGGTACCTTGCTGCTCTCCACCATGGAGGGCAGTAGACACATGTTGAGCTCTGGTCTGGGGGGGCGGATGTTGTTCTTGGCTCCCATCAGCTTAATGTTCTCTCTGCAGGGCAGGTAGGGGCCGAATGACACTGAGGACACCACACACACACACACANTAGTCATGTGTCCTCACTGGAGCCTGAACAATGACTCATGTTTTTTCTAAGCATGCTAGCTTGACAATTGTCCCTTCTTCACATCTTCATGATGTTACGCCAGGGATTGCTTTGTCATCTTATTTGGATCGTCACCTACACACAATGTACAAACCGCACAGCAATCTACCAAGATTTTCCCCAGTGCCAGATGAAGGTTGACAACAAGGAGACGAGGCCAAGTGGTACTAATTAAAACAGGCCATTCTCTAATCCTATGTGAGAACAATTCTGTGGCCCGCTAAGAGGATGTCCCATCCATTATAACAAAACCCAGGAACTGGCAACAGACTTAGCAGCAGATGCTTCTAATCTGTCACAGAATCGAAGACAATGCAACTTATTTTCATGACATTATAACCAGGGCTCTCGACTAAAACTTTTTTTTCACCATCCTCTCGGAACCGTCCACGACAATACAATCTAAGCCGTCCCGAAATTAATGTGGGACGTCCCGAATTAAAAATATTAGTTTTTCCTACATTCATCTTAGTTAAGAATCATTCAAGTGACCTTTAACATAAATAAAACATCAATACAATCATTAGATGTTAATTCATCAACCTTTTTATTTGAGTAAAATCAGTCAATCACATGAAAAAGGGCCAAATATATTTAACAACACACAAACGCGAAAATTACTCTAATATTGACATCAAATCAAAGTAACCATCCAATTAACCAAAAACAATCCAACACTCTGTCCTGAAGACAGAACCCAGAGTTACCACTACCAGGAGGACAGTCTGTAACACAGTCCAGGAGACCTTTACAAACTGCCCGCCCCGCCTCTCGCACACAGACGAGAGAGAGAGATCTCGTCTGGATTGGAAAGCTCGAAAATACATCATAGACGCATGTTGTAGTCTTATTGCATATTAGAAACGGAGTTGGCTAAACTAAAACTGCGATATAATGTTTATGTAGCAATAATACATATGACATATATTTTTTAAATGTCTCCAGTACCGATAAAAAGTCAGATAACGTCGGAGCTTAACGTTACCACTGTCTTTAATAATTCCGGCCCGGGCGGGGACCGTTTAATACCGGGGCTCGGTACCCATCCATACATGGGGAGAGGCGCAGCATATTGCTAAGGACTAAATACGATGGAGGGTTCTCATCTCAGCCTTATTACCCATAGGGGATGAAGAGGAGTAAGTAAATAAAGAGGCCGGCACTCCAGGGTCTGGTTCTGCTGTGCGTTTTTGTGATGTAACGGTAAAACATTTCAGAATTCCTCCACGGGATACCATTGTCATTTTACATCACTCAACCCGCGAAATACACGTCACACACTCAGTACATAGCTAGACACCCGCGAATTTGCGGGCAAGGAATTCGCAGTAGAGATGGCAAATCCGGATCCTTTTATGGACTCAGGGTCTTCTGAGTCAGTCACTGAAGAGATCCGGATCATACGAGTCATTTGAGTCATATGAGTCAGCATCACCAAGACAGTAGAAATCCTATTGGTGAAACCGAAAACGTGTTGCATTTCACGCTACACAGTGTCTTTTGCTTTAATAAAAAAAGTTGATCACAAAAAAAAAGGGCGATTTTGCGAATCTGAGTCTGCTGTTGACTCGTGCATGAGGACGAGTCTGCTGGATCTCTGGATCTGCTGCTATATGGTTACGGCTCTGAGTCCGCACGAGTCTGCTGTGTTTTGCACAGCGAGTCAGGATTTGCGAATCTCTGAGTGCTGTTGACTCGTGCATAATATAGCCGCGGGAGCCGGCTCCCGCCGGGAGCTGCAGGAAGTTTCACTGATCCGCGTCCCCTCCCCTGAGCCAAACGATATCTTCTGGAAGCTATCCTACTTGCTAAAGGGTAGGCAGATGGACTGGGGTACATTGTAATGTTATTTTACATGTTATAAAGAGAGTAGCGAGTGACGCAATGTACAGTTTTAATTTGTATGTCACACCAGGTGTAGGACTCAAAGGACTCGGGTTAATGGAGAGGGGAGACTCGTCACGACCAGCTCATTTCTAGGATCCGGGTTAATAATCCGGATGAATCAGGACTCGCCCATCTCTAATTCGCGGGCACAGCCAGCTGTGCGACTGGCTGACAGCCAGCGGCACAGCTGTAGCTACGTACTGTGTGTGTGTGTGTGTGTATTTCGCGGGTTGCTAAATGTTTTGTGCGTGTGTTTATGTTGACAAGGAGGTTTAATAACTGTGTGCTACACAAAACGTGCAGTCGGTTTCATTTTAATCGCCGTTTGTAGTAGAGTTAGCAGGGTATTTTTATTTTAACTCTCGTCCCAAAATTATTTTTTATCCTCCCCGACACAATTTTTTTCGGCCCCGGGACGACGTGACGTCCTTAAGCTCGAGCCCTGATTATAACACACATCTCAAACCCTGCAAGCATGCAAATATCTTTGTTATCCTGAAAGTAACTCATATTGATTTTTCTTCCTTCATCCTTTGTTTCTTCCTAGGCAAAGCTGTGTTCCTGGCCCGGGACAAACACCACCTGACAGACCTGTGCCATTTGATCCGCCATGACACCCCCTACTTGTTTCAGGAGTATGTCAAAGAGTCGCATGGCCGTGACGTCCGGGTGGTCCTGGTGGGCGGCCGTGTCATCGGCTCGATGCTACGTTGCTCCACGGACGGTCGCATGCAGAGCAACTGCTCTCTGGGTACGCAAACGCCTCCGAGAGCCAATGATGACACACTGAATTACTAAACTATTGAGCACTGTCACACACTAATTACATTACTGAGCTCGCCCCCCCCCCCTTCCCCTCATTACAGTTACCAGCACTGCCACACTGGAACATTTTTTTATTGCGTTTTTTTTACTCTGACATTTTGAAGATATCCTTTATGATCCCAAATTGGGAAATGTTTTTCACAGCAGCATATTAAAACAAGGCATTGCACATCATTTGATAAATAAAAAGAGTAACAAATAAACCAACATAGAATATAAGCATCTCAAAATAGAAAATAAAACTGAACTAAAAAGTAAAATAAATACTCTTTCTACTGTGAAAGACAAACATCAGTAGACTACCTGTCAACTAAACACTATTAAGGGCCAAATAACAGCTAACACATTTTCAAGTAGGATATTATTAACAATAAGTGTGCAAGGAATAGCATATAAAATAAATATAAATGTGAAATATATAGTGTTAAAAAAAGTCCAGTTATAAGTTAAAGACAGGCTTTAATTATTTAAAAAAGAGCCGTGTGCCACATTTAAGGTGTCATGGCTGCTCTTATCATTCCTGTGTATGCGGGTAATATTTAACGGTCATAGCATTTTTGAAATTGTTTATCGAGAATAACAGTCCATCTGCTATATAAACCAGTTTTTGGAATAGTGGCCAAGTCAAGAAGCTTGTCCCGAATGTGCCCTGCAGACATCGAGTGAGACAGCATTCCAGCTGATGAGACTGATTTTGCGTGACAGAGTATGAGCAGTGCTGCTGCTGTAGGCTGCTTATTGGCTGTGACATATTTAGGACGCTAGTAAGCAGGTTGTTCTTTGTTTATGAAACAGATCGTGTTAACAATTGCACTCACTGGTGTTGTATTTATATATGTATCAGAGTTCTCACATATTTTCATGGACAAAATGTCACATATTTTCCATGACCTTTCAAGGACACACTACAAAATGTCCATGGTGAAGTAAACAAACAGAACTTTGACTCCAGTTGGAACAGCAACCTTTTCAAAATCTTATAGGTGTTTTATGCCCATATTAACTTCATATACTACATCAATACTTCAAACTAAAAGCACAGTGCATAAATAGTTCTGTGTTTAAAGACTGTTTACATCACTTATCAGTCTTCACTGGCTTTTAAGCATGAGGGGAAACAGAACCCACTGTACGATCAGTGTGTTCAAATGCATTTGATAATAGACTCATTTCTGGATGCAAGTCTAACAATAAACATTGCAGCAACATCATTATGTAGCTCTTCACAATTTAATTTGCTTTAGTGTCACATTAGGTGGGAGGTTATCCCCTAAAGATTACTCTTAAAGTTTGTTTCATTAAACAAAACAATATTTGCTTTTACAACTTTCATTACTTTTCCTGGCCTAGAACATATTTCTTCAATCCTCCGCAAACACTGCATGATAGCTCTTGTTTGATAGTAGATGATTCGTGACAGTCTGGAGGTTGAAATGAATGAACCTGGTTGTTGTGGGTATTAACCAGCGCGATGTCTCTGTCTGGACTGTTAGGGGGTGTCGGTATGATGTGCCCACTGAGCGAGCAGGGGAAGCAGCTGGCCATCGAAGTGTCCAACATCCTCGGCATGGACGTGTGCGGCATCGACCTGCTGCAGATGAACGACGGCTCCTTTGTGGTCTGCGAAGCGAACGCAAACGTTGGCTTCATTGCCTTCGACCAGGCCTGCGGCATGGACGTGGCGGGCATCGTCGCAGACTACGCCCTGTCGTTGCTCCCCAGCCGCCTCACCCGTAAAATGTCCCTGCTGTCCGTGGTGTCGAACACCAGCGAGACCAGCAGCGAGCCCGAGGTGTGCCCCGTGCCCACCGGGGGCGAGGGCTCGCTGCCCGAGGCCGTCTGCAACATGTCCGTGGGTTCTACCTCCAGCGAGAGTGACCCCGAGCTGGCGGAGCCCTCCCAGTCCTCGCCCCGCCAGTCCACAGCCCCCCCCCTGCCCGACCTCCCCGATCCAGCCTACAACTTCAACACTCTTCTCGCCAATGAGATCAAATTATTGACTGAGTAAGATCCAAGCAGCTTCATGCACACACACACAAACATGACAAATGCATATGAAGAATGAGCATACACACACACACACACACACACACACACACACACACACACACACACACACACACACACACACACACACACACACACACACACACACACACACACACCTGTACGCATGGCAACTGACATTCCTTTTGTAAACGCATATCAATCCAAAAACCCTTCAAACACGTTGTTTAATGCAAAACATGAGCAGTGAAAACACATTCAAACACAACCACAGGAATACAAACACCAAAACATGAGCCTTATCCTACCAACTCCCTTAAAAAAAAAAAAGATCTGAGGCTGCTCCCCTGACTCCGCGCTCTCCAAAACTGCAAACCCCAATTTTCAAACTTAGCTTACACTGCAGCATGGTGGCGGGAGTGGGATATAGTGCATACGTTTACTAGTTTCAATTTAGCAAAAATACTGAGGGTGAAGGTGGTGTTTCTTGGGGTTGGTGTGGGATTCCAATAAAGGCATGCACCTGTCATATGGTTTCCTTACTACACCGTATTATTTAAAGGAGAGTCTATGGTATGTTGTCTTAAAAGAGGGGTTTCCTGCTGAGACTAGTACGGTTAGATGGATTGAAGTCGAGATGAAGTGTTTTTTTTCTAAGTCATTCGCTCCTTGGGAGAGCGATACATCCTCATGCTGGGCACACTACCCTGACAGTTCTGATGTAGCCATGTAGTGCTCCTGTCGAGGACACAGAACTAGAGGGGCAGAAACTGAAGCGAGGCAAATTAAATGTCCATTTTACTGCTTTTCATAACGAGAGTTAAATTCACTACACTTTTCATATGTTGTAAATCCAACTACAACAGAATGTATACACAATGTTTTAACTTTTCTACAACTAAAATCCATTAAATGCCAATTTTTAAACACTAATATTAAAATGTAGCCCAAGTTGCTACATTGACACTGAATAAGAGGTTACCTTGTTCATGCGTTATATTATCAACCCTCTGTTCACTGTGAAGGAAGCAGGATGTTAATGTAAGCAGAACTGCGCTAACCGGTGTGAAGTAGTAGAAATAACAAATAGCATTTCTGTCTGAGTCACAACCTGGAATATCAAAATGAATTGAGTGCAAAGACTCCATTTTTTTATTTTATATTCCAATCCTGTTTGATAAGCCTTACCAGCAGCAGCAGCAGCAGCAGCAGTTTGCTGCTTTTTAAAAATATAAAATGTCTAGCACTTTACGATAAACTGATGTATTTTTTTTTCTCGCTCAGCGGACATATTTAGGAAACGCGAGACAGTGTGTGAAAGCTGCGTCCACACCTGTAAACAGAATATACCTCAGAACAGTGACTCCTCACTGCCATAGCATGACATAGATATTCAAACATACAGAACATATCAGCCGGGATGCTTGTGGTTTTCAAATGGCCCCTGACCCAGGTGTTCCTTCCTTTATGTCTAAGAGCTGTAAGTGTGTATTATTTTGTATTGCTTTACAGCTTTTTTTGTAAATATTTAGATAGGGATTTAGCTTCGATGCATATTACAGCTGCTGAAACTGGAACGGCTGACATAACTGCCAACATTGACATTTACATAAGCTATTGTGGACAAACTTCTTTGTATAGACCTGCCATCTTTAAAGGTTTAAAATGAAATTTGGTGCTAACATTTTTGAATTTGATTAGATGTGTTCCCTCAGTCATATGAGTTGTAGATTTTTTCTTTTACGTTTTCACCTCTTTTTTTTATAACAATGAAGTATCCTAACCTTTAGAATGTGTTGGCATAGTGTACAAATCATTTGGGAATTATATTTTTGCCGCATCTTTGAATAGAATGTTACTTTTTATTTTTCTTGGAGAAGAAATGGAAAAACAAAATCCAGGGATTTCAGCGGCCAAGAGCGTATTGCTTACGGTTTTTGTGTTCTGTTTATTTACCTCCTGTAGGCCTTCTGAAAGAACTACTAAAATAGAGGTAGGGCATGGGCTAAATGCCATTCATTAGGACAAATGGGACAAAAGCACAAACATTAGTTGTTCTCCATAGTGACGTCCATGTTTTTAGACTTATAATAACCCTTCCTGTTGAACATATCTCAGGGAAGCAGCCTGGATCTCACCCCTGACCCCCAAAAGCACGACATATCCATTCGAGCTAGAGACATGCAAAACATTACACATAGCTACAGGCAGACAGAAAGATACACAAACAACAATAAATAAAAGGTTGTGAACTACAGTATAAGACATGTGGTATATACCATGGTTACCATTCACCTTTTCTCCCTGCTTGTTTTATATTGTTCCTTGTTTTCTTCCTAATTTATGGTCTTTTTCAAGAAAAAGTGGTTTGTGTACACTAATGTCTCAATAAAGTGAAACCGCTGTGAAGCTTAATAATATTTTCCTCTTTTGTGGGCCGAATTTACTAACTGCCTGGATTCTAACAGGGGCCTGCTTGAGAGTGCCAAAACTAAAACCACCAGACAACAGGAAAGGCAGCTTTCACTCTAAGTCTGCTGTCAAGTGATCACAGTGGCTCCACTGAGAGAATTACACCGTTTACACTACTGTGCTGATGGTGTCCGCTATCTATAGTATCTGACAAACAAACTGTGAAATCCGCTGATGTCCACTGTCCTGACATGCAAGGGACCGGTGGGCTTGATTATCAACAAGTCCCATCCTAAAATAAAAGCTTATATGAGTATCTCCAATTGTTGTCCCATATTTTTCAAGTCTTCGTCTTTTCATTCAAGCCTTTGTCATCCCACATGGTGTATGTCAGTGAAAATGTCAGATCACATATCCTTTGAAGACATAACAAGCCAGCCATAAGAAAGAGTGAATGTGCGTATCTCTCTTGAAGCCCTTTTGTTTAAATCTGTAGTTTACACATCCATATCCACACAGTGCACATTCAGCCTCTTCAGGTTCATTTGACTGTGCCCCAACAACTGTTGTAATGCCTTTGTATTGCCTGGCTTCCTCTGGGAGCAATGATTTGAGGATCAGTCGGGTCAAGATCCCAATTCAGGTGGGTTTCTTTCTTCTGCTTTGTATTCGTAGACCAGTGGCCATGATACACGGCATGGAACCTACTGAAAGAAACGGGCACGGCATGTTGTGACACAGGGAAGGAAGAAAAACGTGTTAATCATGAAATGATGGAAAGTGTATTGCCCTGTGGTGCTTGGCCAGCCTGGAACAAACATGAAAGGACCTTTGGACTAGTCACTGTGTACAACAACACAAAAGAGCACAAGGTTACTATTTCATTCCAAACTGCTGCTAATGTATATTTGGCAAAAAAAATTTAAAGGGAATATGCGGAAATCAAAGTGTTTCCATGTTTTGCTGCCTCTCGACACATGAAAATGAATCTGAATGCCAAAAAACAAACATTTTGTTGTATAATTTAGTACTAGTAACACTAGTAGTGAGATGATTTTAAAAGTGATACTTTGTTTTGATAATGAATTAATTTTTCAGAATTGTATATAATATGTAGGATTTCTCAGCAATCACCAGGTTCATTTTATGTCAATGTGTTTTAAAACGAACCTGAGGTTTGCTAAAAGTTTACAACATTCTTTGATTTGCAGAAGGAACATGCAATGTTTATGCTCTGTTGATATATAGACATTAAATGTCTTCAATTACATCTGCATAGCATATGGTGAATTGATGAATGGTAATGGTCTGCTAGGCACGAGGTGAGCAAAAACTTTGCAAGAAAAACTGTTGAAGCAAATGCCCTTGCCATGATTCTGTTCTGTATCATTCTAACAGTGTTACAAAACGGATCCAAAAGTCATGTTATTCACAAATGTGCAAAAGGATGTAAATATATATCCCTCTTTTTTTTAGAGTCAAATAAAGATGAGCATTCAAAACCAACCAGTGTTTACTCCTTTGTTGTTTCTACAGGGTGTCCGCGGGGTCTTAAAAAGTATTAAAAGATGATAAATCAATTTAGAGAAAATGAAGGCTATTAAAAAGTATTAAACGGCATTTTCCAAGGTATTACATTTTGTAGCTTGTTTTCAATAAGTATATAAATTGTCCAAAGAGGTTGTATTCTACAGTTTGCCTGAATGTAATCATTGCATAGGTGTGTAGTGTGATTCTTTGTATTTTATTTATGGCTCATACTAACTGACTGACTGCTGCTTGATAGCGCGAAGGTCCGTTTACGCCGGTTGTTAAACAACTTCGTTATGGGGAAATGCAAGTTTGCGTCCAAATGGTTGGAAGATAAGGAGGAAGGACAATCAATACTGTATAGTAAATGTGTCGCCAATGTAACCGGTTAAAACTCGAAGTGGCGACGAGGTGTTAAAATGTATGGAAAGGGTCTTACTCTTAAAAGGTACTATATTTGACTTCCGGATTCCTGCATATACCCTGTTCTATGTTAATATCAAATGTTCTCTAGGCATTTTTATTTGCCTCCCCCAGGCAAATAAAAATGCCTAGAGAACATTTGATATTAACATAGTTATACATATTCGACTGAGCACAAATGTCTTTTTCTTCCCCCCATTGTGTTTCATTGTCCGCTTACAATACCAATACACAACATCTGGATACACCCTAAATGACATCATAAGCACTCTGTACTCATAAACTTTTTTTATTTCTGACCAATTCAGGGGGGTTTCTACTTATACATGTTTGAAGTGGTGTGGGGCTAAACAGATGTCCCGGGGGTGTAGATCTCCAGGCAGAGGGCGGGGCAGGGCAGGTATGGGGACTAGCGGGAGGTGTGCAGCAGCTGCAGCAGGCCCTGGATGGGCTCCGTCAGGTCATGGTTTGGTATCAGCTGGCTGGCCTGCAGGGCAGTGTTGCCAAATCCCAGTGCCTGGCACACACACGGAAACAAACACAGCAGCTGCAGCTGTTAGACTCTCAGGGGAAAGTAAAGCTGACTTATATAATAATATCACTGAAAATTGGATTGCTACCCAGTCGGCTTAACTTATCCCACTTCACCCCTCCGACCACCTGATGTATAGGCTGTCACACTGTCCTTTACAGTTTAGAACAAGGAGAACATATCAAT